TAATTATAATTATATTATAAAAATATTTTATATTATTTAAAATATTATGAGATATAATTAATATTTATATTATAATAATATTTTATATTAATTAAAATATTATATTATCTAGTAATAATATTTATATTAATTATAATTTATTCATTTATTAATTTATATTTATTGTAATATTATAGAAATATTAAATATATTTAAAATTTAATAATTAATTTATTATTAATAATATTTGATATTGATTAACAAAAGAAAATTGTGTAAAATTGTGTAAAATTGTTAACGGATTATGTAAAATTTGATGAACCAACGTTAAAGTGTAAAATATTGATAAGACCTGTTGTTGTTGACGGGACACGTTGATAGGGGGTTGGAATAAAAAATTAATAATAAAAACAGAAAAAAAGTAAGGATGCGGAAAGTTTAACCCCCAACCTTTCTTTTTCTTTTTTTTTTTTTTTGCTTTCTTTTTATTTTCTTTTTTATTTTTCCTGAAAGTTTGTTCTTTTCTTTTTTTTTTCTTTCTTTTTAATTTCGTTGTGCAAAACTTGCTTCTCTGAAAAACTTTTTTACTATTACAATATTATGGATAATATATTCTATATATTAAATATTAAATATATATATATATATATATATATCTAATAACGATCATCATAATTTGTGTAAAATGATCGTTGAAAAATTTTCTTCTCGTGGGAGAAACATTTTATTTGCGTGGGTTAGAAAAATAAAGGAATAAAATGAAATGGTAATGAAATTAAATGAAATTAAATGAAAAACGACAGTTAATGAGAAAAAACTTTACAGTTTTATTGCTATCAACATTGTAGTAAATTTTTCAAAAAAAAAAAAAAACAAAGAATTTCTTGCTTTATTTTATAATAATAATATTCTACTCGTATCTTGAAATGATTGAAAATTGTCGAAGATTTTCAATTGATATTTTAGGGTTACATTTTAGGTTATGTTATTCCATTAATTTAACGGTGATTCAAATTTAATATACATATATATATAGAAATTGATTTTAAATCACGAATATTATTTTTCAATAATTTTTTACTTACTTTTATGTATATATTGCATATTAGTTTTGTAATTTTTAATATTTTTTCAATTAATATTTTAGGTTATGTTATTCCGTTAATTTAACAGTGATTCAAATTTAATCTATATATATATATATCAATCATTTCGTTAAAAATTACTTCGTATCTCGTTCAATATTTTTTCAATTGATATTTTTATCTCAACATTATACCAACACACATAAAAGTAAAAAAATATATCTCAGTATTATTAAAAACTCAAGATACGAAAAATAAGTCAGTTCATTTTTTTGTATAATATATATATAGTAACTTTTTAAGAAATAAATTCCATTGTTAAAACACCCTTTTTAAAAATAGGTAAAAGTAGCTTATATATATAACCATAGAAACTTTTTGAAATTATTTCTATCAATGGACCAACTTATACATATATATATATATATATTATTCTTTCATTCTTTATTTATCTATCTATCTATCTAACTATCTATCTATTTATCTATCTATCTATCTATATATATCTTTCCTTCTCTTCAAATAACAAAAGGTAACCGATCATTGAAAGCATACAATCTGATTCTGTATAGACTTGTAATGATATCATACAGGTGTATGTATGTGCACGTGTATATATGTGCATATACCTGTACAGGTATATGTACATGTACATGTATATGTGCACGTATGCAGCACACTTTGTAAGAGCTTTCAATGAGAATTTTAAGCCATATTGGAAAAGGTATCGATATCGAACCTAACCTATACATACGTACCTTAAAGTATCTCTATATGTAGGTCGATAATTCGAGTAAATCGATACACACGATATACTATGGTTTTAACCAGAAACATAACACACACACACACACATACATACCCACAATCATCTATTGAAAATTGTTCGATCATATTATGAATCATATTTACAGGACACTTACATGAATATTTGATTATCTAACCATTCATTTTTTTTTTTTTTTAATACTTTCATATACGTCACAAATGATTTTTTTTTATTGATACAAATAAATTATTGATAGTTGATAATATTAATGACATAAAAGTATGTAAAAATTGTTTGAAAAATAATATTCATAATTTTAACACTAGATTTTGGAATCTCTGGCAGAGACGTGGCGTAGCAATTCGACCTATCTACTCTAATTTTGAATTTAGCCACCAGATTGCGTATTCAAGTGCTAGAGATTCCACGTGGCATAGCAAAATTCGACCTATCTACTCTAATTTTGAATTTAGCCACCAGATTGCGT